TTGGCTATCTAAAATGGAGGAAGATAAAGGCATGAAGTGGGCTGGCTTACACACTTTCATGGGTGTGGTTATTCTTAAACTGATGGTGAAGAGTATGTTAATTTTTGAAGTATAAAAGGGATAATGGCTAGAAAAGCCAGAGGGTGCCCTGGGGTGTAGTAAATTACACAGTGTGGCTTTTCTAGCCATAAGTCTTTGTAAACTCCCTGGTGGAATTTGCCATAAGCAAATTCTGAGTAATTCCTGATGGTTACAGTTATCCACCTGGGTTATTTCTGTTGGGAGCAGCACAAAGTAATTTTGGAGGAAGTCAGCTCTCTCTCAAGTGTATAGAATTCTGATGTTGGGATTGGTTAGTTTGGCTACTCTGCCAAGCTCAAAAGGAACCCTCCTAGGGGCAGAAGGAATCTCTCACTGCCAGCTGAGAGACATGAGTTGCTGTGAGAGACACACATTGCTGAAAGAGAGATGCAAGAGATACACACTGCTGAGAGAGACACCAAGAGACACACACTGCTGAGAGAAAGAGACACCAAGAGACACGCACTTCTGGGAGAGAGACTGTTGTCTGAAAGACGGTGGGCTGAGAGAGACTGAGCATGTTTGTGAACTTGAATTATAGCCTGTTGCTTCCCTAATAAACTCCATAATCTGAGTTCTGTGTGGCCACTGCAGTGAATTATCGAACCCAGCATAGAGGTGGTGGGTGCTGTGGGAAGAATGGTTGGTGTCAGGGTTGATGAAAGGGCTGGAGGAAGACAGCATGCCTGGCCTCACAGGAATAGGCCTTGGGCTACTGACACTGATTCTATCTTCATCTTGTGAGGCTAGAGGAGTTCAGAAGATACCACTTCCCAGCCCCTTTGGCAACTTCAATACACCACTTCCAATTATAGACAGAAGATCTAAAAAGTTCACCAAGGACACTGAGAACTTAAATAAAATCATAAGCCAAATGGACATAATGGATTTATATAGGATACTCCACTCAGCATCAGAACAGTAAACATTCTTCTACAGAGCAGTTGCATCATTTCCCACAATAAATCATATGCTAGGACACAAAAGAAGTCTTAATGAATTTAAAAAGATTAAAATCATGCAAAGCATTGTCTCTGGCCATAATGGTATAAAGCTAGAAATCAAAAACAGGATAAATTGGGAAAAAAGAATAAATATGTAAAACCTAAATATACCACCAAAAAACTATTGGGTCACAGAAGAAATCAAAAGTGAATTTAAAAGTTCTTAGAATCAAATGAAAATGAAAACACAACATATGGAAACCTTTGGGACAGAGCAAAAGCTATACTCAGAAGGAAATTTATAGCAATGGATGCCTACATTAGAAAAGAAGAAAGATCCCAAATCATTAACATAAATCACCTACTTGAACAAATTAGAAAATGAAGAGCAAAAGAAACCAAAAGCTACCAGAAAAAGGAAAATAATAAGGATCAGGGCAAAAATAAATGAAATAAAAAATAGAAAAACAATAGAAAGAATCAAAATCAGAAGATGGCTGTTTGAAAGGATCAATAAAATAACAAACTACTGGGTAGATTAAAAAAAAAAAAAAAACAGAAGAGGCAAATAACCAAATTTGGAAATGAATTCAGTGACATTTCAAGTGATCTAACAGAGGTAATTATCATAACTGAATACTATGAAAAATTGTACTCCAACAAATTTTAAAGCCTAGATGAAACAGACAAGCTCCAAGAAACACATTCTTTACCCAAATTAACACAAACATTGGTAGGTAATTAAAAGACTCATTACAAAGGAAAAGATAGAAGGTGTCATGAAACTACTGCCAATAACAACAAAAAATGCCCAGGGCCAGTGCATGTTAATCTTCAAATTGACATCTTTACTCTTTAACACTTTAAAGACTCTTTTGCAGAAGATTTGCCAATGCTATATGTCATTTGATTTCTTGACTACGCTTCCATGGATGTTGATTGGAGATCCAAGAAAAATTAAATCTTGGACAAGTTCACTATTTTCTCCATTTATCATGATGGTGCTTATTGATCCAGTTGTGAGGACTTTTGTTTTCTTTATGTTGAGGTATAATCCATACTGAAGGCTGTAGTCATTGATCTCAGTGCCAAAGGGGCAAGGAGGCTGTACCTTCTGACCTCCTCTAACCCCACAAGAGGAAGATAGAATCACCATCAGTAGCCCAAGGACTATTCCTGTGAGGCCAGACATGCTGCCTTCCTCCAGCCCTTTCAAAAATCCTGACACCAACCATTCCTCCTGCAGCACCCACCACCTCTCTGTTGCTGCTGTTGTTGTTGTTATTTGCCGTCATGTCAGACCTGACTCATAGCGACCCTTCCTTGGGTTTCTGAGGCAGTATCACTACAGAAGTAGATTGCCCAACCTTCCTTCCGAGGAGTGCCTGGTGGGTTTGAACTGCCAGACTTCTGGTTAGCAGTCAAGTGCCTTTGCTGCTGTGGCCTTACAGAACTCGTAGATTATGGGGTTTATTAGGGAAGCAGCAGGCTATAAATCAAGTTCAGGAACACACTTAGTCTCCAGCCCGCCGTCTCTCAGCTGACAGTCTATCTCAGTCTCTCTTCCAGCAGTGAGTATCTCTCGGTGTCTCTTTCAGCAGTATGTGCCTCTTGTGTCTCTCTCTCAATGCGTGTCTCTCGCATTTCTCAGCCAGCAGTGAGAGAACCCTTCTGCCTCTAGGAGGGCTCCTTTTGAGCCTGGCAGAGTGGCCAAACCAACCAAACTCAACATCAGAATTCTACACACCTGGAAGCAAACTTCCCAGAAAATTACTTTGTGCTGCTCCCAACAGAAATACCCCAGGTGGATAACTTTAACAATCAGGAGCTATTCAGTTGCTCGTGGCAAATTCCACCAGGGAGTTTACAAAGACATGACTAGAAAAGCCACACTATGGAATTTGCTACATTGCAATTGTTAAGTGCTTCAAGTTCTCTTCACTTTTAGTAAGAAGATTGTGTCACCTGCATATGACAGGTTATTAATGAGTCTTCCTCCAATTCTGATGTTGTGTTCATCTTCATACAGTCCAGCTTCTTGGATTATTTGCTCAGCATACAGATTGAGTAAGTATGATGAAAGGATATAGCCCTGACACACATCTTTCCTGATTTTAAACTATACAATATCCCCTTGTTCTGTTTGAACAACTGCCTCTTGGTCTGTGAACAGGTTCCTCATGAGCACAGTTAAGTTTTCTGGAATTTCCATTCTTCTCAATGTTATCAATAATTTGTTATAGTCCACACAGTCAAATGCTTTTGCATAGTCAATAAAACAAGGAGTGGCTGGTGGATATGGGTATGTGTAAATACAAACATATTCAGGCACATAAATGCATTAAAGACATAAATATGGAAACTCCTCAGACACAACTAAGCACCTTTCAATATTGGTTTCCTTGATTTGAAGGCTTAAGACCATAGTCTTATGTACAACTCAGTCAATTGGCATAATATAGTTCACAACAATCATGATCTGCATCCTAGCGATGTGAGTAGCATCTGGGGTCTTTTAAAAGCTTGCCAGTAGCCATCTAAGATTTGCCAGAAGCAAAACAGCAAGAAGGTAACCGAAAGCACAGAGAAGAAACAAGTCTACAAGAGCTACAATCTCATCTACCCTGGGACCAGAATAATTAGATGGTGCCCAGCTACCCCCTTACCCAGACCATTCTGAACAGGGACACAATCCTAGGCTGAATGGCAGAAAAATATAGAGTAGAACTCAAACTGTTATTTAAAAAAAAAAAAAAAAAAAGACAAACTGGAACAGTAGAAAACAGAGGACTTCCTAAGTTTATCACTCTGAGATGTTCTGTAAATCTAGAACAAAGACTATCCCCTGAGATCAACTTTTAGTGAAATAGCAGAGTGGTACACAAAATAAAGGATATTACCTATAAGATCAGTGCTCTACATAAAAATCATCACTAGGAAACCAAAAGGTCAACAATTACTCAAAAGCAAAGATGAGAAGTTAAGGGGGCAGGTAGACTAGAATACTGGAAAGGTAACAAACAGAACACAATTAAAGAAAATGTTGACACACGGTGACAAATGTAACTAATGTCATCAAACAGCTTGTATGGACATTGTCAAATAGGAGCTTAAATTGCTGTGTACACTTTCACTAAAAAGTCAATTAAAAAAAAAAAAAAAAACCTACCAATGCCTCACCTATCAGATTGTAAACACCCAAGTTTGAAAACACCCTGTCTACCAAGTGCCTGTGGCTAAACAGGCACTTACACATTCTCATGGAAGTGCAAAATATTTGTAACATTTATCAAAATTATAAATCCATTAACATCTGTTTCAGCAGCGCTACTTTTGAGAATTTATCGCTCAGAGCCACCTGTGCTTATGAAATTGTGTATGTATATTGCAGCATTTTTTGTAATAGTAAGAAACTGGAAATAATCTGTTAACATGTTGGGTACAAATATACAAATAAGAAATGACATGCAGCTGTTAAGAAGAATGAGAAAGCTTCTTATGGACTGAAATAAAAAGAATTCCAAGCTGCAGAATGATTTTGTCTTTTATGTAAAAGAGGAAATTAAGAAAATGTAAACTAACAAATGTTAAGAAAGAAAAAAGAAAGATTAAAAATACATAATTTTCTTTTCATATATTATTATAAAGAAATGCTGAAATAAAAATACTGAAATATAAATAAAATAGCTAAAAAATGGCATTTTCAATCCATAAGAGAAGAAAAATTAATGGTCAATAAACCTAACAACAAAAAAATGCTGAGTATCTATTATGTGCCAGGGATTTTAGAGCTAAAAATTTGTCAATACTTTCACAGGGTATTTTGCTGTTACTATTTTAAACTCAGAAAACACATCTGCATACTAACAAAGAGAAAGACATCTAAGTCACATATCTCTGTTTTAAGGGATAAAAAGGCAAGAGGATAGGTAGGAAAAGGAAAATGTGTTTTGCTATTATTAAGAGGAAACTTACTTTAATAGCTGAATATAGGGAATAGCCGTAATGCTTTTTGAACTCTGCTCGAATGTCCAAAAGGTCAATTTCTGATCTGGAAACCATTATTCTGTTCAGAGTAAATTCATCAGTTCCAGCACCCTGTTAAAAAATGCAGATGTTCACAATATAAATCTCATTGATCATAAAACAACATATAGGCTTACATTTATGATAAATATGTAATGGTATACAAAATATTCAAGTACAGTGACTCTCATCCATTTATCATCAAACTTCATAATTTATTTATTCAAGAAATATTTATTAAACACCTACTTTATAGCAGCACAAGGCTAAATGCAGAAAAACAGAGATGAAATATCTTTGTCAAGCTTCCAATTTTTTAAAGGACACAAGTAATAAAGCTGACCACTATAATATAATTTGATCTACAGTACATATTGAGTGCTATGGTTGCAAGCAGAGAATACCAGAAAGACATTTGTGTTTTATTAACTATGCAAAAGCATTCAACTGTGTAGATCATAACAAATTATGGAAAACATTGCAAAGAATGGGAATTCCAGAACACTTAATTGTGCTCATAAGGAACTTGTATATAGATAAGATATAGGTGTTCAAACACACACTTGTATATAGATAAGATATAGGTGTTCAAACACAACAAGGAGATATTACATGCTTTAAAATTGGGGAAAGTGTATATCAGGGTTGTATCCTTTCACCATACTATTCAATTTGTATGTTTAATAAATAATCTGAGAAGCTGGACTATCTGAAGAAGAATGCAGCATCAAGGTTGGAGGAAGACTCATTAATAACCTTCGATATGTAGATGACACAAACCTGCTTGCTGAAAGAGAAGAGGACTTGAAGCATTTACTGATGAAAATCAAAGACTACAGCTTTCAGTATGGATTATACCTCAACAGAAAGATAACAAAAATCCTCACAACTGAACCAATAAGTACCATCATGACAAATGGAGAAAATATTGAAGTTGTCAAAGATTTCATTTTACTTGAATTCACAATCAACAGACTGGAAGCAGCAGTCAAGAAATCAAACAACATTGCACTGGGTAAATCAGCTTCAAAGGACCTCTTTATAGTGTTAAAGAGTGAAGATGTCACTCTGAAGACTAAGGTATGCCTGATCCATTCCATGGTATTTTCAGTCACCTCATATGCATGTGTAAGTCAGACCACAAATAAGGAAAATTGAAGGAAAACTAATGCCTTTGAATTATGTTGGCATACCATATTGAGCGTACTGCCAGAAAAACTGCCAGAAGAACGAATATATCTGTCTTGAAAACACAGTCAGAAGGCTCCTTGGAAGTGAGGATAGCAAGATTTCATCTCACATAGTTGGACATGTTATCAGGAGGATCCAGTCCCTGAAGAAGGCCACCATGCTTAGTAAAGTAGAGGTCAGCAAAAAAGAAGAAGACCCTCGAGGAGATGGATTGACACAATGGCTTTGACAATGGCCTCAGCATTGCAATGACTGTGAGGATGGCACAAGACTGGGCAGTGTTTCATTCTGTTGTACACAGGGTCACCACGAGTCAGAATTGACTCAATGGTCCTTAATAACAACAACAATGGGAACATGTATCAGGGAAGCACAAACTGGGTTGAGGATTAGGCAAGGCCTGCCTGAGAAAGTGACTGAGACCTAAATATAAGCTTGGGGATGCAGAGGTGGGATTCAGAGAGAGAAGAAATAATAATCCAATTAGAAGAAATAGCACGTGCAAATGTTTAGAGCAAGAGAAAGTGCCACATTCAAGACACATAAATAATGAGTAGGAGTAAGTAACGATGGGTCAGGAAAGGCCAGATCTTGTAAATCATGAAATGAAATTCTGACGTTATCCCAAGTGCGGAGAACTACTGTAATCTTTTAAATGTGAGAATGTTGAGATCAGATCAGATTTGTGGTTTCTAAAGATCACTTTGACTGCAGAATGGGGAATAGTGTGCAGGGTAGGAGTGGGGTTGCGGTGTAGCAAATTACTTAGTGTGGCTTTTCTACCCATAACTCTTTGTAAACTCCAAGGTGGGAATTGTTATTAGCAACTGAGGAGATCCTGATTGCTAAAGTCGCCCACCTGGTTTATTTCTGTTGGGCGTGGCACAATACAATGTTCTGGGAGGTTCCCACTCTCTCTCATGTGCTTAGAGTTCTGATGCTATTATGACTGGCTAGTTTGACCATTCTGCCGGGCTCAAAAGGAGGCCTCCTAGAGGCAAAACGCTCTCTGACTGCTGGTTGAGGAAGACATGCTGCTGCAAGAGACATGCACCCCGGAAAGAGACACGTGCTGCTGGGAAAGAGATGCAAGAGACATACATTGCTGAGTGAGACACCGAGGGACCAGCACTGCTGGGAAAGAGACTGTGAGAGACTGTTGGCTGAGGGGCAGGGGGCTGGGAGAGAGACTGAGCATTTTTCCTGAACTTGAATTGTAGCCTGTGGTGCGCTTCCCTAATAAATCCCATAATCTGTGAGCTCTGTGTGGCCACTGCAGCGAATTATCGAACCCAAGAGAGGTGGTGGGTGCTTTGGGAGGAACAGTTGATGAAAGGGCTGGAGGGAGGCAGCATGTCTGGCCTTGCAGTAATAGACCTTGGGTTACTGCTGGTAATCCTGTCTTCCTCTTGTGGGATTAGAGGAGGTCAGAAGATGTGGCCTCTTGCAGGGGTGAAGATAAGGGAATAAGATTAGAGGCTTTGGGAACTATACAGAAGTGATTGCAGTAATAAAAAAAGAGATGATGCTGGCTTGAAGTAAAATAGTGGCAATTAGGATGCAAAAGATGGATGGATCTGAAAGATGTTGATGCAGGTGAATTGACAAGACTTAATGATGTATCCAGACAGTCTAAAGCCTTTATATGGTTAATAAAACACAGGTATTGTTTTATTCTGGTATTCTCTGTTTTCAGCCAAGATCCATCTTACATCAGCAAGGACTAGGCTAGTCCCTGGAGAAGGATATCATGCTGGGTAAAGTAGAGAATAAGTGAAAAAGAAGACCCTCAGTGAGACGGATTGACATGGTGGCTGCAACAATGTGCTCAAACACAGCGATGATTGAGAGGATGGCACAGGACCTCACAGTGTTTTGTTTTGTTGTATGCAGGGTTGCTGTGAGTTGGCAATAGCACCTAACAACAATAACAATGATGTATCATTTGAGGAGAATGATGGAGAGGGAGAAATGTATGATTCCTTGCTGGGCAATTAGGTGGATGTTGACCCTATTTATTCATTCATTCAATAAATGTTCATTAAGCATCAACTATTTGCCAAGCATTGTTCCAGGTGTTATGGATATGATGGTGAACAACAGAGATAATATCTCTGTCCTCTTTGCCGTTTAGTAGATGATGACAGACAGTATGGCAGCTAATTATTTGATTAAATAGAAATAGGTGCGATGAAGAAAACAGGGAAATGGAGAGTCACTGAAAGTAGCTAACTTACCTAATGTAGTTATGGAAGGTCTCTCTCAAGTGGTGAGATTTGAACAGAAACCTGAAGACGAGAAGGAGCCAGCCACATGTAGAAGTGGAGGAGGTACATTTTTAGCAGAGAAGATAAGAAATGTAAAGATTTTGAGGTGAACAAGACCTGACAGAGCCAAGAAAGAGAAAGGAAATTAAGATGGGTAAAGAATAGTGAACAACCTCTGGTAGCATAGTGCCTAAGGCACTTGACTGCTAACCAGAGGCTGGTGGTTCAAATCCACCAGCCACTCCTCAGAAGGAACGTTGGGCAATCTACTTCCATAGCGATATCACCTCAGAAACCCAAGGAGGGGTCGCTATGAGTTGGATCCGACTTGATGGCAGTGCGTTTTGTTTGGTTTATTGTTGGAATCGTATGACTTCAGAGAGAGTTGGGCAACGGTATCCATTGAAGCCATCCACTGAGATGACTGAACACAGGAGCAGGAGTGCTTCATGTTATAAATCTCAGAGCCCACTATTCTTTCTTCAACAATGAGGCTATAAAAAAATCCTTACTTTTCACTTCTTTGTTCAGGTCGGACACCAGCTGCCTATGCAGCACTTATTTCTCTGACCCTAGCCACCCAGAGGTAAATCAGATCTCACAAATTAAAGGACATTGTCCTTCAGACTGCCAAATAAACAGACACGAGTCACAAGTTTGAAGTACACACAGCATCCTAACTTCTGACTTGCTGGCTACAAATTCGGAGTTTCCCACTACCTCTTCAGGATGCCAACTACAACCTTGGCTCCCTCACTCTGGCCTGTTTGCTCACACTTCATTATTTACTAGAATGACTCAGAAACTCATGAAAAGTGCTATACTTACTACCACAGCTTTATTATAGAACATATACAAGCAAACAACACATAAGGCAAGGTCAAGGTAGGTTTCTAGTGCTATACTTCCATGTCCCAAAAGACTTGCTAATCTCTCAAATACATCAATATCTTTCACCAGCCAGAAAGCCCTTGGAGCTTCTGGATCTAGAGTTTTTACTGGGGCCTCATTGCATAGGCATGATTAATTCATGTTCACCCCCTTCCTGAGGTCAGCTGATAACAGGCTAGCAGTGGTCTTTCTGGTCAGCCAGCCCCCACCAATTAGCACAAACCCTCAGGTGTTGTCTAGATAACAAAGGCACTTTAATCATCATATTTTTTTTTTCTCATATAACACACCCATGTGCCCATGCATATAATGCACTTAGTACATATAAGAACTAATGCACAAGGGGTTGCTTGGTTTAAAAAAAACTGTATAACACGTGCGTTATTTGTGTAAAAATGTGGTACTCGAGAAATTCCAAGGATTTAGAATGATCTCTCAGGAAACAAAGGCAAAAACCGAACTGCTTTGGGTACAGTTGAATTCTTTCCCTCACAGGGAGGATACAGGGTATGGGGGAAGGAAATGATATGTTCACTGTGCACATAACTATGAAGGTACCTGTGAGACCTCCACAGGATATGGCCAATAAAGAAATTGAGATAAGCGTCTTCTATGTGCCAACCCTGTGCTAGGGTCTGAAGATATAAAAGAGCAAGAAAAATCTCCTCACCATCAATCAGCCATGACAGAGAAAAAAACACGGGGTTACAATATAGTATCAAGGTTACTGATTCAGGTCAGTTTATTTTAAGTAAAATAACAGCTTTCAGGGCCCACTGGGCCTAATGGGTCAAGCTTGAGTTTTGGTGTTCTAATACAAGTTCTAGGAGCTCTGGTAGCATAGTGGCTAAAGCACTTGACTGCTAACCAGAAGGCTGGCGGTTCAAACCCACCAGCCACTCCTCGGAAGGAAGGTTGGGCAATCTTACTTCCGTAGTGATACTGCCTCGGAAACCCAAGGAGGGGTCGCTATGAGTCGGGGCCGACTCGACGGCACATAACAACAACAACAACAACAACAATACAAGTTCTATTGTTTACACTTACTATAAAGTGGGGGAATAATTTAGTCAACACTGCACTGTGCCTATCTTTATGTTGAGACATATATCCCACGAGCAACCAAGAAGAGACAATTAGTAGGCAAATAAGTTACAAAAGAGAACTCATCCAACTGGAAAAGTAATGTGAAATATCATCAATATCGAGGGAGAACCTAAGAATGCATATGAAATTTCCAGACCAACCTTCAAAGCTCGATGCAGTCTTTCAGCCAAAAAGGCAGGTGTGTTCCTCACGCAATGAACTGTCATAAAAAGCAAAACAATGCTCAGTTTCATTTAATTGAAATTGGGTTATAACAGAAATTGGGTTAATCTACAGTAATATGTTAAAAAAAAAAAAAATCCCTAGGGTTCTACCCCTCCCCACTACTGTCTTTTATTTAAAATGAAAGAATGAGTGCTTAACCTGAATTTCAAAGCTTATAACGTCACATTTACACGGAACTTCAGCACAATAATCATCTTCAGCCACAGGGAAAATAAAAGTACCTGCCAAAGAAACTCCCACAGCTACTGACTCATCTGCAGCTCCCAGACACACTAAACACCTACGCTTCCATCGGTAACTCCCTGGGGTGTAGCTCTTTTTCTAACATCTGTGGCTGCAGATGAAGTCTAAAGATTGCAGAGATGTTGCTCCAAATAATTCATTAGGTAAGAAGGGGCATTGGAGTTCAATTTAAAAGCAATTTTTCCAGTGGCAAGATTTTCTCTGAAGTGACTGGATTAGAGTTTATAGACTGGCTTGAGTAATGACATTAGAACCAGCTCCTGGAATCTAAATCCAGTCATCCAAAAAATACTATCATCATTTCATTTTTATTTTGAAATAACAAGTAAAGCAGAAATAGAACAAGAAAAAGAATATTGGCAAATATGTGAATAAATTAATTATCCCTTAAATGAAGTGAAAATAGTCAGATATAGAAAATTCCACGGGCAACAAATCTACTTATTGCAACGCAATTACTTTCCTAATCTTAAACCTGATCTGTAGGGAGGAATCTGACCAAAAGTGAATGGATTTTACAATGAAGTTTGGAGATCAGGAAAAGAATAAGTGACTTTCTTGACTCTCTTAAGGATAGCTACAAGGCTTTTTGTTTATGTAAGTGATTTGAAGAAAACAGGAGAACTGTATTAGAAATACAAACAAGGAAATCTGGGAACAAACCATGAAAACAGTATTATATGTGAAGTCATTTGAGAAGAGACAAATCATCCAAATTTGTAAGTACCTAATTTTCCCGAGCAAAAAAAACCAAACCAAACTCACTGCCACTGAGTTGTTTCCAACTCATAGCAACCCCATTGGGTTTCCGAGGCTGTAAATCTTTACAGTAGTAGATCGCTCAGTCTTCCTTCCATGGAGTGGTTGGTGGGTTTGAACTCCTGATCATACAGTTAGCAGTCAAGTATCTTATCAGCTACACCACCAGAGCTCCTAATTTTTTTTTTCCCCTGATGTTCATGTTAAATAAGTCTTAATGATCTGATCAAAAATTATTATGCCCTACCAACCATACTAATGGAGCTCTGGTGGTATAGTGGTTAAGGCATTCAGCTGTTAATCAAAAAGTTGGCAGTTTGAACATCTCACCTGCTCCATGGGAGAAGGATGAGGCAATCTGCTTCCATAAAGATCTACAGACTTGGAAACCCTATGGTGCAGTTTTACTCTATCTTATAGGGTTGCTATGAGTTGGAATCAACTTGATAGCAGTGGGTATTTTTGGTTTACCAACCATTCTGTCCGGGGACACAATAGATGGTCTCTTACCGAACGAGAGAAAAAAGCTCAACAAAACCAAAATTCTTAATGAAGGCCAGACTTACTGGACTGGTAGAGACTAGAGGAACCTCTGAGACTACTGCCCTGAGATATACTTTAAACTTTGAACTGAAACCACTCCTGGAGCTCACTTTTCAGCTAAGCAACAGATTGACTCATAAATAAACAGTATCACCCATGAGTAGCATGCTCCTTTAAAAAAAACACAAAAAACCATCTATATGAGACAAATGATCAATAGTTACCCTAAAGCAAAGATGAGAAGGTAAAAGGGGAAAGGGAAGCTCGATTAATGGAAATAGAACAACCAGAATGGAAATAATGAGAATATTGACACATTGTGAATAATGTAACCAACGTCACTGATAGAAATTGTTAAACAGGAGCCTAGTGTGCTACATACACTTTCACCAAAAACACACTAAAATATTATTAAATAAATATTACTCCCACTTACATTTTACTAAGCTTCTGAATCATCTTTCCTCACTAACTACATTTATGGTAGGAGTCCCTGGGAGGTGCAAGTAGTTAGCCAAAAGTTTGGAGGTCTGAGTCCACTCAGAAGCATCTCAGAAGAAAGTCTTGGCGATCTGCTTCTGAGGAATCACCCGCTGAAAACGCTGTGGAGCACACGCTACTCTGACACACAGAGGGTCACTGGGAGTCAGGATCAACTGGACGGCAACTGTTTTATTTTTTAGACAGGAAGTATTTTTTCTTTTTATAGCCCTTTCTCCCTGTTTAGCTTGTCTTCTGCTTTATGGTGCTAATTATCAGGCCTGTTCTTCATGTCTGAAAATTTGGGGAGGCAGTGGTATATTTTAGTGGGAAGGAAACTTGCTTTAGTACCTAGTACTAAAAGTTTATTACTGTGACCAAGTGTTCACAATACCCATTTCTCAACCCTGTTAACCTTAACCTTTAACCTTGAGCACACTAGTCAAGTTTCTCTCCTCTGCAGAGGCCCCTGAACTCTGACTTGCCCCCAAGCCTGAGCCAGCCCAAAGTGCAGAACATGCCCCTTTTCAGCTTATCCTGAGAATAACTTCACCCATCACGCCCCTTGGCTTGCCCAAATTCCCCTTAGAAATTTCTGCTAAAGTCTGCTTAAAACCAAAACCAAATCCATCATCATCGAATTGATTCCGACTCATAGAAACCCTATAGGACAGGGTAGAAATGCCCCACAGGGTTTAATCTTTACAGAAGCAGATTGCCACAACTTTCTCCTGTGGAGTGGCTGGTGGGTTCAAATCACTGACCTTTTAGTTAGCAGCCAAGTGCTTAACCACTGTGCCACCAAACAAAAAACAAAGGCCAAACTCTGCTGTCGAATCAATTTCAACTCATAGCAACCTTATAGGGCAGAGTAGAACTGCCCCATAGGGTTTCTAAGGTTGTAATCTTTATAGAAGCAGACTGTCACAGCTTTATCCCATGGAGTGGATGCTGGGTTCAAACCACTGACCTTTAGATTAGCAGCTGACCATTTTAACCAGACCACCAGGGGTCCTTAGTGACTGTATGTTGTTGTTATGTGCTTTTGAGTCAGACCCAACGCATAGCAACCCCTCCTTGGGTTGCCAAGGCAATATCACTATGGAAGTAGATTGCCCAACCTTCCTTCCGAGGAGTAGCTATATAGGGCTCCTTAAAATGTGCTTACTTCTCTCCACAAAAGAAATGCCTTTCTGTTTGAGATACTTGTAGATTTCTGAGATCAGAGTATTCTTCCTATTGCAGTAGTATTTTAAATAAACTCTCTCCTCAAGACTGGTTTTGTCTTTATTTGATAACTACTATGTTCTTATTTAAGGTGCTCTGGTGGTGTAGTGCCTAAAGCATTTGACTGCTAACCAGAAGGTTGGTGGTTCAAACCCACCAGCCACTCTGCAGAAGGAAGACTGGGCAATCTACTTCTGTAAAGATTTATTACCTCGGGAACCCAAAGGAGGTTGCTATGAATTGGAATTGACTCCACGGCAGTGAGTTTTATATATATACACACACACATACATATATATATATATATATACACACATATATACATATACATACATGCATACACATATTGTTATTCAATGAGTCCTGGTAGCACAGTGGTTAAGCACTTGGTGACTAACCAAAAAGTCAGCAGTTTGAACCTACCAGCCATCTGTGGGAGAAAGATATGGCAGTCTGCTTCTGTAAAGATTTAAAACATTGGAAACCCTGTGGAGTAATATACTCTGTCCTATAGGGTCATTATAAGTTGGAATCAATTTGATAGCAGTGTTTATTTTATTTTATGTTCCTATTATGTATTTCTAAGATAATCCAGAACAGATGGTTTCTCATGCCAAAAATTGTGTTGACATATTGTATGATTCCATTTATACAGAATGGAATAAGCAAAGGTAAAGACAGAAAGGAGATTAGTAGTTGCCAGGGAGTTTTGGAAAGGGGAGTGGCTGCAAATGGGTATGGGTGATTCTTTTGGGAGATGATAGAAATGTCCAAAACATAAATTATGGTGATCTGCACAATTTCATGAATATACTAAAAAGGACTGAACTTTTCAATGGTTGAGTATTTAAGGTACATAAATTCTATTTCAATAAAGATGTTTAAAAAACTATTGTTAAAAAACTTGTTAACAATAAAGTTGCTAAAAAAACCCCACATTTTCTGTTCCAGTGGTAGACTGAAATAGAAAATGAAAGTGTGTGCGGTGTAGTAAATTACTTAGTGTGGCTTTTCTAGCCATAAGTCTTTGTAAACTGTGGTGGAATTTGCTGTGAGCAACTGAGGAGCTCCTGACTGTAAAAGTTATCCACCTGGGGTATTTCTGTTGGGCGCAACACAAAGCAATGTTCTGGGAGGTTCTTGCTCTCTCTCAGGTGCTTAGAATTCTGATGTTATGATTGGTAAGTTTGGCCACTCTGCCAGGCTCAAAAGGAGGCCTCCTAGAGGCAGAAGAAGTCTCTCTCTGACTGCTGGTTGGGGAACATGCGCTCCTGAAAAAGACACGTGCTGCTGGGAAAGAGCTGCAAGAAAAATGCATTGCTGAGTGAGACACCGAGGGACATGCCCTATTGGGAGAGAGACTGTGAGCTGGGAGAGAGACTGAGCGTTTTTCCTGAACTTGAATTGTAGCCTGGTGCTTCCCTAATAAATCCCATAATCTGTGAGTTCTGTGTGGCCACTGCTGTGAATTATCGAACCCGGGAGAGAGGTGGTGGGTGCTTTGGGAGGAATGGTTGGTGAAAGGGCTAGAGGGAGGCAGCATGTCTGGCCTTGCAGGAATAGGCCTTGGGCTATTGATGGTGATTCTGTCCTCCTCTTGTGGGGTTAGAGGAGGTCAGAACATGTGGCCTCCCTGCCCTTTTAGCAGTGTGATACATCTTGAATTTCCAATTAGTTGAATTATAAGGTCTCTATTTGATAAAATGATATATATTGTAGTCACAATTTAATGGATAATCCAGTGCTATTTCTAAGAATGCTTTAGCTCAATGAGTGAGACTTTGTATATCTCAATATATTTTTCAAATGTGTCAGTTTAATAAAGATATGCACAATTGATGTAAAATTAGCAATATGAGATAGAAAAAATTAACTGGCTATATCATAAGAATAGTCTCAGAACTAATTATGGAGACTGATTTCAATTCCTTTTTTTAAAAAAAAGGAAGAAAAAGCCCTTTTTTCAGCCTATGTCTTAGGAATTCAATCAGAATGAACAGCTTTTTTTGGGCGGAGGGCAGCAGTTAAAGAGCTCTATTCATGGCATGGAGAAAATCAGAAGTTAAGTGAAATAACATTAGTGGAGTTAGCACTTAGAATATGACCTGGAACTTAGTGAGTGCTTGTTCCCTGGCATATTTTCTGTATTTTACTTTAAAATACCTCAGCATAGACCACGGGCTCACTGAAGCATGCACAATAACTGGTTAATATCAGAGACTATGAAACCCAACTGCCTAGATTAGAATCCCAGCTCTAGCAGGTACTCCCTGTGTAACCTTGGGAAGTAATTTAACCTCTTTGTGGCTCAGGTTTACCAACCATACCAAGGGGATGGATTCTCTGGGTGGTGCAAATAGTGAATGTACTCTGCTGCTAACTGAGAGGTTTGAGTCCACCCAGAGGCACCTCAGAAGAAAGCCTTGGTGATCTGCTTCTGAAAACCCCGTGGAACACAGTGCTATGCTGACACACCAGGGGTCACCATGAATTGGAACTTACTCAATAGCAACTGTTTTTCTTTCTTATTTTTCAAATCAAAGGAATAATGATAGTGCTTAGTTCATAGGATTATTATAAGGTTTAAACAAGTTGATATTTTCAAAGGGTTTAGCACAGTGCCTAGCACATATAAGTTCCACATAAGTGTTATTTACCCTGATTGGTGATTCACTCACTGGAGGCAGTAAGATGTGAAAGACTAGTGGGAGACTCTACTCGAGAGGAGGTCACTCTTAGGCATCTTATATCACTAAAGGCCTTATTAATTATTACAATAGTTATTAGACATGATTTTTCATTGATGAAATGAAATGACAAGATGTTGGACTTGTCCAAGATGTTAGACTGTTACATTATACAGGTACTACTTGCTGTTGTTGTTGTGTGCTGTTGAGTCAATTCCAACTCACAGAGATCCTATAGGACAGAGTAGAGCTGCTCTATAGTGTTTCTTAGGCTGTAATTTTTATAGGAGCAGATTGCCAGGTCTTTTCTCTCAAAGAGTGACTGGTAGGTTCAAGCTGTTGACCACTGAGCCACCTGCATTAATAGAGTATAAGTCTGTAGCAGTCCCAACAGCCTTCCTAACCCCTTTATAGTGGTTTAGGATTCTGAACAATCCTGTGTGTATACAAGCACTTAACAAAAGATTTGTTATCTGATGCTAACAAGAAGGGCCACTGAATCCTGTCATTGAATTGTATCTCATTCTTTTGAATTCACCTTCCTTACAAGGTACTGTCCTGGTGCCTAAAAGGACAGACATTTGAGATCTCATATAACTGTGTTTTTGCCTGCTTGTCAGATGGGACATTTACATGGGGATGGATCCAATCGGAGACTTGTTTCCATTTTGACATACCACTTGCTAACACAGCCAAAGCAGAGGCTTACCTAGCCTTACTTTTGGGAGGCTACTGATTGGGAGGCTACTGACATCTTCCAAAAATAACCAAATACAGTGTATAACCAAATTGGTTTAGGTGTCAATATTCAACAAGGCTCAATAAAAATGCCAGCAGAAATGAAATATTTCAGTTCTTAAGGAGAGTATAGTACAAACAAAATGACAAACCAAATACAAATTTAAAAGGCAAAGTAAGACATCAAAAGATAACTTCTCAATGGATCAACTTGAGAATATTTGTTGAGAATATTGTCTGTACCAAGGACTGTGCTGGTGGCTGCAGGGAACAGAAAGATGGAACAGTCAGGATTCTTACATGAAAGGAGCTTTTCTTGACATTGATTTAGAACAAGTACAAAATAACTTGGTTTATAAGTGCTTAAGGGCTTACCTATGGCCAGCAGTAAGTCTTCCAAATGCCCAGATAATTCTCCTTTTATGCTGTCCTCAATGTCCTTCTGGCTGATATTTCTATATTCATCAAATGCTACAAAGTAGCACCACAAAAATATTTAAATCATCCCAGTTGACCACACTTGAACACATCCCAGTTTTAGATTAGACAAGCAGCAGATCAAGTTGTTTAGTAGTAACTCAGAAACTCCTTCCTTAAACTACCAACAGTTGAGCATAGAAGTTTTTGTCTCCTCATTTATTTATTTATTATTGTGCTTTGGGTGCAAATTTACAGAGCAGAATTTGTTTTACATTCAACAAGTTTGTGTACATTTGGTTTCACTCCCCAGTTACCATGCCAACCCTAATCCACTCTCCTCCCCTCCCTTCCCTGTGAGCCCCCTCCTCGTGCCCTTCTTAACCATGTACTCCTATCTGTCCAGTTTCCCTCCATGTGAATGCTGCCCTTCTGGTGCCCCATGGGCGGCTGCTCCAAGGGGTATATCCCCATAGAGTAGGTGGGTGCATTGCTCTGGGCTGAGTGTTCTGCATGTTCGTTTCATTTATTTTAAAAAAAATAATAATTCGCAATAAAACCTGAGCTTCATAGGCCATTTTTACTGATGATCTCTCTGTTCCTCTTTCCAAGCTGTTAGCACTTGAAATAGGCTGAAGGGTTATAAAACCAATGATAAATAATTTATCTAGTGATACAGGCTATTTTTAAGTTATAGTAGCACCTGGGAAACCATAGTGTGGCCATTAGTCAAATATGTTTAATCTGCTAAAGACATCTTAATTGTTACGCTGAGTAAATCATTCCCCAAGGGAGCATGACCTACTTCATACCTACCAGAAGGCATCCTGTATCTTCATATTTTCCCAAAAGCAGAACTTGCATATATGTCACCAAGTATACAAATATATTTTGTAAGTCGAGCACATTTTTTCCAGGTAAATTTTGGAGACAGAACTAGGGTGAGTTGTTTGTTTTTTTTCCCACGTAAGTACCTTAATAAACTATCATATACTGTAAGGAGCCATGGTAGCTCAATGGTTAAGCATTCAGTTGTTAACCAAAAGGTCAGTGGTTTAAACACATCAACCACTCTTCTGGAGAAAAGAACTGGCAATCTGCTTCCATAAAGATTACACCTACAAAACTCTATATGGAAGTTCTACTCTGTCATGAGGTCACTATGAGTCAGAACTGACTCGATGGCATACAACCACCACCACATCATACACTATTAGCATTATTTGATAAAATCATTGTAATTTTAATGGGAAAATCAAGGAAGGATAATCTCAGAATTAAAGGCACAGTATTGTCCTTATGTTTCCTGACTTGTCCATGACCTTGGCATAAACTTATAGTCATGTACTGGGGCTGTTCTCTAGTTCAGCACCTGCAAGCCGTTCATTATAAATGGAGTTCTGGGTGTGTGGGCGCTGTTGTTTCCAGAACACCTCAGAGAGACATAGTGTCAATGTGGATGAGTGAGCAGTGGGTGCTTAGCAGCTCTATGTAATTTGGTCTGACAAGAAAGCTGTTTTGTATTTTTTTTTTTTTAATTTTTTCTTCTTACTTTTATATCAGAAAGAGCTGAATGTTAATTGGTACTAATACATTAACACAAACTCACCAGCAATGTTTAATTTTCCTGGGAAGTGGCTAGGTGGTAAGAGATGAAGCGGAAGCAATGCAGCCAAACCCCTTTACCCCACAGGAAACTCTTTCTGCCATCACTCAAAAGGGCTGCCCTCTTTCTTCTCTCTGTCACAATTCCTCCCCTGCCACCTGTTACTCACTGGATAAGGTACTCAGTTTCCAGGGAAAAGCAAGAGAAGTGTCACTACTGCTTTGAGCTAAAATATAGTTTCCCCATTTTGCATCTTGAAAAGCTTCTAGATAAAATGGAATAGCCTTCGCAATTCTTAACTTCATTTTCCAGAGCTTTGTATATTAAATCTAAGGCTATTTGCAAACACACACACACACACACACGCACACACAAAGATTGTAGTGCAGTCAAAAATGAATTGAGTTCATACTTAGTTTCAGTTGAGGAAAGCTCCTTAAACACAGGATCTCGATGAATTTATCCTCATCCGTGCCCCATCTCTTCTCACCAGCATTATAGAGAATCTATTGGATAAGGGGAAGAGAGACATTGTTACTAAACTGACATAATTCCCTCTCTCTTTTTTTGTAGGGGCAGAATGAGAAAAATGGGCAGTTTCATTTGAGAGTTAGTCTGACAATCTATTATGTAAGTCTTTTACTTCTACCAGACTAGGAATTTGAGACTTGGGACAGCAGGAGACAGGGGAATGATGACTGCCACTAGAGAAAGCAGAAAGCTGGGGTTGGGTGATAGCTTGTTGTTTTGGATGGAATTGTGGCCCTCCAAAGTATATGCTGGAACATTAACCCCCATACCTACAAATGTAATCAAAGATGGCGACATTGCCTTTCCTCATTACTGACCTGAGCATCCTTTTTAGCCAGATGTTCATCTACTTTCAGAGTTTCATCTCTTCTTCCCTAAACAGGAAAGACACAGTCTTTTTAAAGGCAGAAGATTTTTAACACTCACTCACCAATCTCTAATGCAACTGTTACAAAGGACACTTGGATTCACTTGTTTAAAATACTTCAACCAGCAGGACACTTCAGAGGTTTTCTCCAATGAAGGCCAGGTAGCAAAGAGAGAAGACTACTGGCAGAGGATTCCACTCTGGATTCTAGTTCTGGCTCTGCTATGAAATGTACTGGAAATCACACAGTTCTTTGGCCTTCAGCTGCCTCCTCTGAAAATTCTGAAGTCCACACAAACTCCAGTGTTGAAGGCTCTGTAATTCTATGTGTGGGTGTGTACGTGTGTGCACACACGCATGCATGAATGCTTCAACACACTATAAAAATATAGAAAACAGGAGAAGGGGAAAAAGCAAGATGTCTAAATTATTTTGAGAAGTACAAGTGGATGAAGCATTTGGCTAAAATATGTTTAAAATAAAATTTTCAAATTGAAAAATCTTATTTTCAAGCCCTAGATTCTTGCATGCATGCCTGATTTTTGTACGGCTTCATTTCTTTCTTTCTCTTCAGTGCTGCTGCTCCTCAGCTGCTATTAGTTGGCTTTCTTCTCTTTCATTGTGCACTGAGCTACAATAATACACATGCTAATAATAACAACCACCTCGCCCACTAGTTATTGAGCACTTTCTATGTGCTAAGTACTTCCCATGCTTTCTCCCTTTTAATATTCCCAATACCCTAAGAGGTTGGTACTACTGTCATTTTAATTTTACAAATGTGAAAACTAAGGTTTTAAGGCTTAAAGGAACTTGTCCAAATACGTAAAGCTAGTATTGTGAGATCTCAGCTCTATTTGAGCCCAGATAAACCTGACTCTATACTGTTTTCAGGGGAGCTCTAGTGATGTAGTGCCTAAAGCACTTGACTGCTAACCAGAAGATTGGAGGTTCAAACCCATTAGCCACTCCTCAGAAGGAAGTTGGGCAATCTACTTTCATAGTGATACTGCCTCAGAAACCCAAGGAGGGGTCACTATGAGTTGGAGACGACTCCACATAACAACAAAATACTGCCTCCATGAGTGGGTGAGTGTGCTCGTATCCATACACAAATGGATACACACCTATGAATACAGAGCTCTGGAAGTATATGTTTGCAGCAATGCTGCAGAAGTTTGGTTGTGTGAATTCAACCCTCATAAGGTTTTCATCATTTATAACAACTGACACCATAATTAGGATAACTTGTTTCCTATTGGCATCATGCTTCAGTGTTGACAAGTGGTGTTTCAATCATCAGGCAGATACCATTGTTGAGGATGCAGGAGCTGTGTAAATCAGCTGAAAAAGTCTGGTGAGCCATTGCTTAAATTATTTCCCGTCATATACACATCTATGGGTATATCTCATCCTTGACCTGTCTACCTTCATTACTGAAGTCTTGAGACTTCTAAAATGAGACAGCAAGGTGTGGCCTTATTTGCACACTTGCTGATTAATGGTTTAGCAACTCTTCCAACATGTGGAGGATCAAGTTGTAGCAAGCCATTTATTCCTTAATCCTGAGACTAAGACAACCATCTCTGCAGATAATTCTTCTGTATCATGCTCTCTACTTAATTTAAATGCTAACAAAAGAGATATATATTCATTGGAGCTCAAAAGAAAGTAAGATATGCATAAAAATGGAGACACAAATAATGAAAAAAGAATAAACAATCATTTTACATTAGATGATTATGGAACTATTTCCTAATATATTGTGAAATATGATCAACACACTTTGAATACTTACATTGACCAAAATAATTTTTTTTTAATGTCATGAGGCACACACATGCACATGCGTGCAGGCACACACACACACACATATTATGATTTTGGATAATATTACAGTGCTTGGTGGAAATGCAAATATAGGATGAATAAATAATTTTATAAGGAAAATTGCAATCTTAATGTCTCCATTTGGTTATTTTTAAATGCCCTAAAAATTAGCACTGAGCATGCAGCTTATTGAGGATTTAAAAAAATAAAATAACACCTTACTTCAGCCAAAGTCAATAGAGCTTTCCGGAAGTCACCAGATGTTTCAGAGCTAATGTCATCTCCAAGACTCTTCTTATATACTGAAACCAGATAAGAATGAAATTATGCCTTGGCAAACTGAAAAGTTTTATTACAGAACAGAGAAAAGCTTAAGTGTCAACATGAGCAATAAATAAGAACCTGATGAAGTAAATCTTCCCCTTTTATTTAACTTCCTGCTGCTCTTCTGTTCTGAGATGTATACCTTGTTATAATTACTGCTGTAGTGGGTGTTATGGTGGATGCTTAAGAACAGAAAGAATCACCATTTGGGATCAAAACAAACAAACAAAACCCACTGCCATACAGTCGAGTCTGACTCATAGTGACCCTCATTGGGTTTCCAAGGTGGTTTAATCTTTATGGAAGTAGACTGTCCCATTTTTCTCTGAGGAGCAGCTGGTGGGTTTTAACTGCCAACTTTCTGATCAGCTGTCAAATGCCCATCTCCAAACTCTGTTTTTATGTGCAAAGAATAAATTACTATCTTATTTAAGCCACTATTATATTTCTACCTTATGAACCTAACTCTAATATTAGTTAATATAGTGAATTATTTAGGAGCTCTGGTGGTGTAGTGCCTAAGGCACTTGACTGCTAACCAGAAGGCTGGTGGTTCAAACCCACCAGTCACTCATTGGAAGGAAGGTTGGGCAATTTACTTCCGTAGTGATATGCCTCAGAAGTCCAAGATGGGGTCACTATAAATCGGATCCGACTCAATCCGGGAGAGACCCAAAAAGAGAGAGAGACCCGAAACATTCTATTTTCCCCCTAATATTTGCCAAATGCATGTTCATATATGTTAGTACTGGCTAGTTACAGCTCAGAGTTCCTAGGTGGCACAAATAGTTAAGCACTTGGCTACTAACTTATGACTCATTCATAAGAAACCAGTTAAAGGAGATTATCAACTTAGCCTTCATAGAGGGACCAAGCATCTTGCATAACCTGTCAGTGGCACAATGGAGTCTAAATAAATAGAGAGCTAAATTCTGAAGATTTATCAGTATTCTAAGTGAATGGTGTGTGAAAGAACATTGAATCAGTGATCGAGAACTCTTAAGTTCTAGTTCAGGCTCAGCATTATTGAAAGGTTGGCAGTTTGAACCTACACAGAAGCGCTTCAAAAGAAAGGTCTGACAATCTGCTTCTGAAAGGTCCTAGTCATGAGAACCCTCTGGAGCACAGTTTTACTCTGATACGGATGAGGTCACCATGAGTCCACTGATTCAATGACAACGAGTTTTGTTTTGTTCTTACTGGTTAATATTAGCCCCTTTTATGTATCCTGTTTCAGTGTCCATCAATTTTAAATTGAGGAAGTGATTCTGTTGGAACCACTATACAAGTAGAAGGCAGGATTAGTATCTAACACAAGGTAGCTATTTGAACTCTGCCTTTATCATTCTCAAGAACTCTATAAGTTAGTCACACTATTGTAGAAAGTGATCTGAGATATTGTTGATAGGAAAAATTATATTGAGGTCACTCCACAAGCATGACTTTAGTACTTTCTTTTTAAAAAAATCTGTAATTTTCCAAAGCAAGTCAAATAAGAAAATTCCAGTATAAATATAAATTATTGATCTACATGAACAGACATGTAGAACAGACTTTGAACAGACATCATTACACCTAATGATCTTGATATGGCTATACCATCCTTTACTCTAGTTAGGGAAAAAAAAAAATAATTTAAAAACATTGAGTCAAATAATGAAGTTCTCACTGGTTAGAATTTTAGGAAGTATTTTATAATTTTAGAATTATTTAGATGAGACTTTATAGACATCTCATGCAGCCTCTCTACTCCACCCTTGACTTCACATATTGACAGAAAATTAAACTAAAAAAAAAAAAAAGATAAGTACTTTCATCAAAGTTGACAGCTACTTTACATACTTTGAGACAAAATCAAACCTACCTCAAGAAATAAGATATTTCAATAATGCTGAGCATGAACTAGAACTTAAGAGTTCTCAATCACTGATTCAATGTTCTTTCACACACCATTCACTTAGAATACTGATAAATCTTCAGAATTTAGCTATTTATTTAGACTCCATTGTGCCACTGACAGGTTATGCAAGATGCTTGGTCCCTCTATGAAGGCTAAGTTGATAATCTCCTTTAACTGGTTTCTTATGGATGAATCACCATTTCACCCTCACTATTTCTGAAGCTGACAAGAACAGGGTTGGTGTCTGACAATAGATGGACAGCAGCCTAAAGGGTGTCCTGGTGAGAGAACTTTGCCCCAAAGTAATGCTCGGTACTAGACAGTGATGTCTTAAGCCTATCAGATCTTCTCTGTAAGGGAATAAGCTATGCAGAAAAGGAGACAGAGACAATAGAACAACAAAGTAGAGACTAACCATAAATAAGACAGAAAACTGAAGCTATGAAAAACCAGAAACCATAAGCAAATATAAGCCTTGAGTAGACACTATTGGTAGGAAGAGAGAAATTACTTGGTAGTGTCAGGTACAGTAGCAACAGCACTTTCTGTCTTCTTGAAACCTGTGAAAGCCTACTGGTAACAAAACTTTTAAAAGTGCAAACAGGTCTGGAAGGCTGTAGGCCAAGTCTATTTTTGCTGACTACAAGGGGTCTATGGAACCACAGGTAGCAACATCTCTTCTTAAAATTAAAGGTGTTTATACCCACCAGCCACTCCTCGGAAGGAAGGTTGGGCAATCCTACTTCCGTAGTGATACTGCCTCGGAAACCCAAGGAGGGGTCGCTATGAGTCAGGGCTGACTCGACGGCACATAACAACAACAACAACATGCCCAAGATTAACTGAATTCTATTTTCAGGCAAAACCAAAAAACGCAAACCAGTTACTGTCTAGTTGATTCTGATTCATGCTGACCTGAGGTATGTTACAGTAGAACTATGCTCCACAGGGTTTTCAATAATTGATTTGTTAGAAGAATATCACCAGGCTTTTTCCTTGAGGTGTGACTGGGTAGTTTTAAACTTCCAACCTTTTCGTTAGTAGCCAAGCACATAAACCATTTTTCACCACCCAGGGATTCCTCTGTTTAAGCAAGAGATGTGCTTATGTATTCAAAACAAAGAACACAGTGACTCCTGGTGGCAAACCTGACAAAACCAGAGTACCTTGGAAAAGAAAACTTGCATCCATAGGAACAGCAGTATGGCTTGCGCCAAATTCTTAAACAATTTTCCTGCTGAGGTTATTGGACACAGAATCCATATGATATGTACCCCTGAATAATTTCAACTTACTGAAAAGTAAATAAATATAATTCTGGATTAATTTTTTAAAAAAGAAGAGTATAAGCTAAAGACAAAGAAAAACATTACTGCAATGGAAGACATCAGCATAGGGAGCAAGGGATGTTTGATGCTGAAGAATGACAAGGTAACTGGGTCTCTAGGATAGTGCTGTGACCTGAATCTCTGTGAAGTTTGTCTATACAATTTTGAGACTATTTCTTTCTTTATTGTCTTGTGTATCATTACAATATGCAAACCATGGAGTGATTTGGAACAGCTAACACACAAAAACTTGTCTGTCAGTTTGTCCTACTGTGGTGATTTGCATGTTGCTGTGAGGCTGAAGGCTAGGTCACTGGTGTTTCAAATGCCAGAAGGGTTACCCATGGTGGACAGGTTTCAGTGGAGCTTCCAGACTAAGACAGATCGGAAGAAGGAAGAGGCCATCCACTTCTCAAAGAATTGGCCAACGGAAACCTTATGAATATCAGTGAAACACTGTCTGATATATTACTGGAAAACTTTATGAATAGCCCTGTAACATCGTCCAATATAGTGCCAGAATATGAGCCCATCAGGTCGGAGGCACTCAAGATATGACTGGGGAAGAGCTGCCTCCTCAGAGCAGAGCTGACCTTAATGAAGTGGATAGAGTAAAGCTTTTGAGACCTCGATTTGCTGATGTGGCACAACTCAAAATAAGAAGAAACAGCTGCAAACATGCATTAATAATCAGAACATGGAATGTAAGAAGTATGAATCTAGGAAAATTAGAAGTTGTCAAAAATGAAATGGAATGCATAAAAGTAGATATCCTAGGCATCAGTGAGCTGAAATGGACTGTTTTTGGCCATTGTGAATCAGACAAATATATGATCTACTATGCAAGCTGGATTCAGAAGAGGATGAGGAATGAGGGATATCACTGCTGATGTCAGATGGATCCTGGTTGAAAGCAAAGAATACCAGAAAGATGTTTACTTGTGTTTTATTGACTATGCAAAAGCATTCGCTTATGTGGATCATTAACAAATTCTGATAACATTGAAAAGAATGGGAATTCCAGAACACTTAATTGTGCTCATGAGGAACCTGTACACAGGCCAGGAGGCTGCCATTCGAACAGAAGGGGATACTGCATGGTTTAAAATCAAGAAGGGGGTGTGTCAGCGTTATACGCTTTCATTGTACTTGTTCAATCTGTATGCTGAGAAAATAATCCAAGAAGCTGGACTATATGAAGAAGAACATGGCATCAGCACTGGAGGAAAACTCATTAACAACCTGAGATACACAGATGACACAACTTTGGTTGCTGAAAGTGAGGATGACTTGAAGCACTTACTGATGGAGATTGAAGTCTGCAGTATGAATTATACCTCAAAGGAAACAAAAACTCACACAAGTGGACCAGTAAGCAGCATCACAGTGAATGAAGAAAAGACTGAATTTGTCAAAGACTTCATATTACTGGGTTCTACAATCAACACCAATGGAAGCAGTAGTCAAGACATCAGACGACCTATTGCATTGGGCAAATCTGCTGCAAAAGACCTCTTTTAAGTGCTGAAGAGCAGAGATGTCTCCTTGAAGAAGACTAAGGTGTGGCTAACCCAAGCCATGGTATTTTCAATCACCTCATATGCATATGAGAGTGGGACAATGAATAAGGAAGAAGAGTTGATGCTTTTGAGTTTTGGTGTTGGCAAAGAATACCATGGACTGCTAAAAGAACTAACAAATCTGTCCTGGAAGAAGTGTAGCCAGAATGCTCCCTGGAAGTAAGAATCAT